GAATATTCATGATTTGTTTCAAATTTTTCTCATGCAATTTAATTGACAAATTTGATGATTGAAAAGACTTGAATTTGCAGTGTGATCTGTACCAAACTGTAAAAGATAATTGGATATCCTTAATATCAAATATCGAATATCTTGAAAACTTTGTATAAACGAAGATATATGCGTAAGAAAAAAATCATAAATATTCAGCGTCATTCAAATTACATTTCGCACAGAATCATTATTTTTGTTTAAACATTTGTTGTTGATAAATAAATAATTGAAATTGTTTCAACTTTCGAAACCCTTATTTTTTATTTAGTTACGAAATTGATTTCTGGTAAAATTCTGAATATGAATAAATTTGTTGCGATTCCGAACAAATGATTTTTATGGTGGAAAATTGATTGTTTGTAAATTATTTATACAAAATGCTCGTAATTTCCAAAAAATACAAATTTCAAATTATTTTATCAATCTTTCTCCAAAAATAAACTTCAAATTCAGACCTACCAAGTTTAAAATTTAAACTTTAAATAATAAAATCATTGTAAAATTTAGGGAAACTTACGTTCTACAAAACTAGAAAAACATTCCCCTGAAGAAAAAATAGCCAAAGTACTCGGCTATCCTTAAGCGGAAACGGAAAGCCTGTGGCTATATGAACTTTTAGAATTGGGTTTTCTCCTATAATTATTAATTTTTATCTATGAAACTACTTTTATTGACTCGATCATTGCATTGTTGAACCAATGAAGTAGATTCATAAATAAAAAGTAATAATTATAGAAGAAAACACAATTATAAAAGTTTATATAGGCACAGGGATTCCGTTTCCCTTTAAAGGATGCCGGTGGACACCCATACGGACAGACATTGTTTCAAGATTTTGTGTTCTTCATTTTAGACAATACTACGACATTCCAATCAGAATTAAAAACGCAAAAATCAAACGACTAAAATGCCTTCATTCGAAAGCAGAAACACCTCTTACCCAGTCAATTTACTTTTTGATATATGAAAAAACGACGTCAGTAGCTTGAGACTACAAAACAGCCATGATGGTTGTGGAAAACCCTCATAAAATAACTGGTCACCCCCTCCTTCCTGTCGACCTGTACAGCCCCTGCACTAAACAGTCCCCGGAACGACCCAACGATGAGAAAAGCGAAAAACTCAGAAGAAAGAGCAACCGTAATCGTCGAAAGGTCATAAAATTGCGGTACATCAGGTACCCAATATTTAACCAAAACTCGAAACCCCCTTCAGGTCCGAAAAATATTTTATTACGGCAAAAAGGTAAAACTGGACAACGTGAAAAATGGTTTAACGAGGGATTAACGAAAAACTCGATTATATTGCCACATCGGATTAACTTTCCCCTCTCCCCCTTTCTCTCACTCTGACGGCGAGAAATTTCTTCAAATGAGTTAACAACTGCAGTACCAAAATCTATGTTGAAAAACAAGGTACCGAATTATTATCCGGATTATGAAATTGCTCGTGAACCCGGGGCTTTTCCTACACCCACATTGACCTGAGAATTTTGGCAAAAAAATTTTAATGTTCTTGAGTGTTGTTAAATATTTGTAGAACTTTAACTCCTGAGTCAACGGAATTAGTTGGGACAGAGTGGGAGAATGGAGCAGAAATAAATGAAGCGACGTTAATTATCGAGAAACCGAGTTATTCGGAAAGTTTTCTGGAAGTGGTGGGGCATGATTCAACATTGACTACCCTTTTACGAAATGCGGTATAATCCTCCCTGAATTGCATTCTGCGAGAGCGTGAGCACAAAAATGAGGTCTGGCGTGTGCGTGGTCATTCGGCGAATAGTGTAGCGTCATTGCTTCGTGATGCCGAGGTTCTCAGCCTGTTGATATTATCCCTTTGTTGACTATAACAAATTTAATGTGCAGATTGAATTGCGAAGGTTAAAAAATTATTGCAATTTAAAATTTTCAATTTTAATATTAGAATGAAGTCAGAATGAAGACCAAAATCAATTCTTTATCTCAGGATTTTTAACACATCTTCTTCAATATTTTCAAATCCGGTGCATTAAACCATATGAAGGGATTCAGGTCTTATTTGAAGGTAAATTTGCAATTATCTTTATAATTCAGGGATTCATAGACTTCAAGAAATAGTATATTTCGTAACGAGTGCAAAAAACATTTTTTCACGAGTTACGAACAATATTTTTCGTCACAGCGTGATGAAAAGGCTTTTTTGAAACACGTGCTTGGAAAAGTCCCTTTTCGTTTACAGATTGTTGTGCATAAAGTGACACTTTTCATAACTTTCACGATAGTAAACGAAAAGTGAATCCCGTAAATGAAAGAAATAAATTGAGAAGAAACAATACTTCTTAATTTAAACTTCACAGAACATTTTGCTTTCTGCAATTTTATTATTCAAACTGAGGTTCTTAATTAGTTCCTTTATTTCGAAGCGTTAAGGACCATTTTGAAAATCTGGAAAAAAATGGAATGACTACTTTTTGGAGGCGATTGACGAAGTAATTGGAAAATTGAAAATAGACGAAATAGTATACTTCGATACGAGTGAGACGGAATTTTCAGGAATGTGAAGTTGCCAATCACACGATCTGAAAATTTCCGTCTCACATGTGTCGAACAATATTTTTTGACAACGATGTTACGTTCAGCGAGTGGCCGAGCTGTGCCTTTTTTGGTTACAAGTAAATGAAAAGTCTTTTTTTTTTTTTTTTTGTTTATTGAGTAAGCGGGCGAATCATAGTTCGCCCGGCGCGTAACTGGGAGACCCGGGTTCGAATCCCAGTTGGGCGGTGCGGGATTTTTCTCTCTCTAAATTCTAATTCTGTTTGAATTTTAAGGATGTACTACACCATTAAGTAATGATAAAACGCAAAAACGGTATATTTGTTTACGTAAATCCCATCAACAATTTACCAGAAAAATTCAAAAAACGTGAATTTTGGCGAAAAGAGTGTAATAGATCCTTAAAAGCCTTTTCGTTTACGAGTAAACGAAATAGTTATTTTCATCACAAGGTCCACAAAGTATTTTCTGACGAATGTGGCTTTGTATAATCACATTCGTCAGAAAATACTTTTGGACCGTGTGATGAATGCAATTTTTCGTCAGAAGGCCCGTAAACCGCGATCAAACCGAGCCAAGCGAGGTTAGAATCGCGGTTTACCGGGTCTTCTCACGAAAAGGCATTTTTCGGCACGAGGTGCACGTAGCATCAGTGTCAAAAATCACCTTTTCCATGAATAATTGATAAATTTTCACGCTAAAAATTACTTGGATATCGACGATGGACACTTTGAAATTTTCTGACATATTCACAGCTCAAAAACAAATACATCTATCATCTACATTAATTCTGCCTTCATTACAAAGCGGAAGGAGTGTTCTTACGCAAAAGCAAATGATGGAATTTCATCCACAAATCAATGGCTTCTCAAAATTTTTTTAATGAAAAATGCTCATTTCACGCCGTTGTCATCTAGTGAAAGAAGAAAAAAGAGAAAAAATGTTGTTTTCACATTTGAAAATTTTGGAAAAGGAACAAAATGGGTTGAGAACCCGAGTTTTTCCAAATACAAGGAATGTTGGTCAGCATGTCATATGGTCAATGCGTCGAGTGGTCGCGTGGGTGGATTTCTGCTGCAGATGCGAGAGTGGCTGAAGGTCCAATGGGACAACCCTTCCGTAATAACGCACAAACGAAGGGGCCACTGCGTCCACATTGCCCCTCTTTCTCCATCCATTGTTAGCCATTCTCAAAACCAAACGCCTCTCCGAAAAATGCATTATGCATCGTGACGCGTGGTCCGGCTAACGGTACAATATTCATACCCAACCCCTTTTTCATTTTTATTATACCTACCACCTACATGTGTAGGCGAAATGTGTGTCAAAGAGATTTGAATTCGAATTTTCACCGTCCGTGACCGCTCTACGAATTCATCATTGCACGCTGACATGTCAAATTATCGAGTATTCGGGGATAACGGTAACTGACGATCCGTCTTTATTCGAATTTATTTAGAAATAAATTGAGATTTTTCCTCTTCCAACTTGATGATTTTCCCATTGGGCTCATATTGAGTGACATTAAGGGCCATAAGGTCAGAATAAGGGTCCAAATAAGAGTCAATAACCAAGGGTCACTAGAGCCAAAATAAAGGTCACGAGGATTATAGTGAGGGTCAGATTATGGATCCAAGTGAGGGTCATAAGGGTCAGATTAAGGATTTCAAAGGTAAGATTAAGGGTCGAAATAAGGGTCATAGTGTTCAGAAACTAAGCGTCATAAGGGTTAAAATAAGTGTTTCAATATCTCTGTATATTGTAAAAATCCAAATTAACTTTTCATGATGAACACTTGGAACTCTAAATTAAGATTCCAAAATTAAGGGTCAAAATAAGGGTCACGAAGGGTATAATGAGAGTCAGATTAAGGGTTACAAGGGTCAGAATAAGGATCATGGGGGTCATAGAAGGGTTGGCGAGCGGAGAGAGCAGGGGGCGTAGCCCCCTGGTATATTGTACGAATAAGGACGAATAAAATTAAATTAATCTAATTGTGAAGACGCAAATGGAAACAAAATGAAATAAAATGAAATAGTATAAGTTAGCTAGTATGTAATAAAATAAGTAATAAATATTATTATATGTCGAATATCTCTGGAAAAAGGAGATACATCAAAATTTATGTAGGAAAACACATTTCGTGTGGAGAATCCGATGTACTCAAATCAAGGTTTTCCAACTTTCTTCTTTAATGAACTGACTAGTTCCATGGATAGTTGCGATGTACCTAATCTGCATAAAATTCCTAAAGTTGTCGATATTCAGCCATTTGTTATAGTTTCTTTTTCTGAAATTTCAGCATATTCGAAATTTTTTCTGCTTCAAACGATCAATTATTCGTCTAATAGAATTCTATAGAAGCACTGAGATTTCCCAGCTATGCGATAATGTCAGACGTAAAACCTGACATGAAAAACAACCAAATTCTTTCTGCCATTTACTTATATTTTCTTTATTGTAAATCGAAATCAATTAGATCGCTATTTAAATGTATTCAAACACACTTGAAGGTTTCAACGTTCTTTCTTGACCACATGAGGTAAATCGTACTTTCCTCTGACGCACTTGATTTTTATTCCAGGGCAATCCTTAACTCTTCCCACTCTGCAAAGGACAATATTGTGCTCCTGTAGATTATGCCCTTCCCCTGGAAGAAAAAACGCGCAGAAAAAATTAATTTTGGAAAATGAATTTTTCCCGGCATTTGAGTGATGCTGGTTGTTTTAGTTACCTGGCACATAAGCAATCTTCTCCTTGCCGAAAGACAGTCTAACAAGTACACACTTTCTGTTTGCTGAGTTCGGCTTCTTTGGTTTTCTAATTAGGGTCTTAATCACCACTCCCTTGGCAAAGGGCTGTCCGTTCAATATTTTTTTTGGGGGGCGGTTTTTAACGTGAGGCCCGTGTATATGCATACTCCAAAGACTGGCGCCGAACCTCTTTGCCTCAGTGAATCCTGAAAGGAAAACAAATAAATGCTTTTTCAATTTTTTTTAACAAAGTTCTCTCAACGTCTGTGCAACTCATTTTCTGAATTTTTAGTTTTGGGCGGACACATGTGATAAGAATCTTATCAGTCTTATCAGTAGAATTACAAAAACATTGTTCAATATTATGTATTAAATGATTACGTCCTTGAAGTATTTCGAAACATTTATTAGAAACCAATTTCAGGTGTGGATCATGAGATATTGGGTAATCGGTAAACCAATACTAAACTCAGTATGATATCGTGACATTGCGCTTGTCATTCAAGTTTCCTCAGGCTCTTGACAATTATAGTGTGTTGTCGCCGTAAAATAGTCACAAGATTTCTGATCGGTCCCCAGAACATAACAACACAATTAACTCATTGATAAAAACAGTAAATGGCGTCACAAACCAAATGCTATATTGCAAGTGTGGCTGAGCGCCGACTCTCACAAAAAATTTGATATTTTCCCGATGTCAAAAACCTGTAATGGATTGATATCGAAACGATATGACTAATACGATGGAATTGACTGTAAACAATATAATAATCTTACCAAGAACACTGGAATAAAAAATAAACTTTGCGATTCGACAATGAATTAGTATTGAATTTTCAATATACTACTGATTTTGTCAATATTCAGACCTACGAGCGATTGAATAGAATGAAATGAACAACAACATGGATACTCATTAAAAAGTTTTGCTTTAGCTATATGAATAATTGTCTCCGAGACATGTGGTGAACAATAACAAACGAATGGAGAATTTCATTCAGTAGCGAAGTGGTAAAACGATTTAAGTCGACTTGTCTCCCCGTTGAGTTTTTGAGGAATGTTTCCTATTCGAAAGGAGATAGCGAAATTTTTGTAATTACGTTTGTTGTCGCACTCAATCGGCTCTACAAAAAAGGTTCTAACGAACATTTTGCTATATCCCTTAGATTCCGAGGTATTCATTGAAAACTGATCAATAGTCAAAATTGACTTGTATACGGAGAGAAATATTCAATAAAAATTACGTATCTTTTCCGTAATTCCGGAGCGAAATATGGTTGTAGGAAATTTTACGGAACTGTCACGGAATTTTTTCAGAGCGTTCCATAATTTTTATCTGAATCGTCTATGAAAAATTACGATACCGTCACTTGAGTTTTCCCAATCGATTCCCAATCGATTCGGTGAGCGAACTGTGAGTTCCGTAACTTTTACTGAACATTTCTCTCCGTGTACCGTTTTACCACTTCACTACTGCATTCATGATACGAATTTATGACGTGAAATCTTCTATTTCGTTCTCTTTATGTAGTTTACATTCTTAATTCTTGAAAGAAGGAATTCATTGATTAATTATATTAGTTTAAATGAATTCATGAGAAGTAAATAGTTGGTGGCCGGAGTTATTTTCTCCATTGAGAAATTCCTGGAGATTTCTTTCCCGTTAATTTTTACTCGGCGAATTCATCCCTTTGAAATCAATTTTCCTTACTAATTTATTCCATGTGGGACTTTGCTTGGATTTTTTTTTTAGAAAATCCAAATTGGCTTTCTTTTTTTTCTTAGAAGGGAAAAAATTACAAAGTGAATGACAAAAATAGTTATTTTCATCACAAGGTCCACAAAGTATTTTCTGACGAATGTGGCTTTGTATAATCACATTCGTCAGAAAATACTTTTGGACCGTGTGATGAATGCAATTTTTCGTCAGAAGGCCCGTAAACCGCGATCAAACCGAGCGAAGCGAGGTTAGAATCGCGGTTTACCGGGTCTTCTCACGAAAATCGTCTTTTTTTAGTCGCGATTGTTTAATCAATTCGTTGTTTACCGACCAATGTTGATATGTAAATTTTAAATTCAATGCGACTTTATTCTTAATCAGATCAGTTGAATTGTGTGACATTCAATGAAGATGAACTGACGCTGTATTCAAGTATGTGTCCGATTTAATATTTCCCAGGGAATTTTTACATTGTGTTTTTTCTTGGGGACATGGGAAAAACTAATTTTTCCAACCGAAAAAGTTTCCAGGGGAAAAATTTTCCGGAGATTTCCTTCCGGGGTATTTTTTGCAGGGAAAAAATCCGGGAACCTAAATAGTTTCAGAGTCGACCATGAAATCTTACAAAATCATGGATTCACCTCGGTAACACCTCGACTTATTATAGTAGGATTCATCATTCCAATTAATAGCTGGACAATTAATCACATTTCAGTAGCGAAGTGGTAAAACGGTACAAGTTAATTTTGACTATTGGGCAGTTTTCAATGAATATCTCAGCATCTAAGGGAGGTCGCAAAATTTTTGTTATAAACTTTTTTGTAGAGCCGATTGAGAGCTACAACAAATTACAAAAATTTCGCTATCTCCATTAGATTCGGGAATATTCCTCGAAAACTCAACTGAAAAATAAGTCGATTTCAACCGTTTTAACACTTCGCTACTGATTTCATTTCATCATGAAGAGAATTTTACGTATTTGACGCATCGAATCAAATAATACTCCTTGTTTAAATACTTCGTCCAATTTCAGATGGAAGTTGATGAACGCATAAATTGTTGATGGTGAGAAAAAATTTTAATGCTGTGAAATAAATAATTCATTTATTCCAAATTAATCCACTATTACAATATAATAAACGTCTCATATGATTCAAACGACGGATTATTACGTGACCATAACTTCATTCTCAACGATGATTTAATTTATCACTGATGAAGTCTTTATTACTGCCAAAGAATCATGTTTGTATATTTAAAAAATGATTTATTTGAGGTGAATATTACGAAAACAAAAATAACATTCACATTAGAATAAACGCTTCATTACGAGCTATTTGAATGAGCCCATTCATTTCACCAAAATAAATTTCATAATTCAAATAAACCGCTCGTCACGACTATAATTTCATGACTCAAATATCAAATCTCGACTCATGAATATCGCATTAACCGTTTCCCTATTGCACCCAATGAAAACATCTTCAAAAATAAACTCAAAATATTGATTATTGCTCATTCCAAGTGTTATTCATATTGCATATGATAATTCAAGAAGAAGGATTCCCAAATTTGTGAGATCTGTGAGAAAAAAAAAAGATCTAGGAAAAGAATAGAGACCAATAGTGATCAACCTGGACGGATAACCTACTCTGAGAGAAAACAAATACGTTCTCAAAGACGTCTTGTTTGGGCCAACAAAATCGCTAGTTGAAAATTGCCAAAAAAGAATTAGTTTGGGTCGAATTCGAAAGTCTCAAATATGAATAATTGTTCTGCTTTCGACAGCAACGAAATATTTGGCTAAAGAGGCGAATAATTCACACCAGACGCGACCTTTTCAGAATGAAAATTACTCATATAGAGGAAAATTTATCAACAAATATTTTATTCCTAAGTTACAAGNCTTGTTTGAGAACTTTATCGTTTTTCTCTCAGTGTAGTGTAAGAAGCAACTTTACACATTTTTCTCTAACTAAAACTTATCATTTTTCTCCTGTTCGGAGGCACTTGTGAATCGTAAAATGAACCACGGAGGGGACGACGATCACTGATTGGGTAAATTTCAATTCCCGCCATTTTAGTCTCATTCATATAATCGTCACTAGAGATGTAAATGTGTCCCATGATCCGTCATATGACGGTTATGCGACAATTATTGACATAACACATAACCATCATTTTTGAGACCGCGTCATACGACCAAAAAATGACGGTAATTTTGCATCTTTAATCATCACCCTCCCCCCCCCCCCCCCGCGAGTCATGTTAT